GCCCTTGCTTTGCAGTAGGAAGGTTATATCCTAAGCAGTTCCTGCCCTCCGCAGTCCCATCAGGCTTTTGCCATCCCTTTCTGGAGGACACAAAAGCCTTGGGACACACAGGCCTCAGTTGGTTAGGCTCCAGCCCTGCCACAGCCTTGTTGCTGTGGGAACTGCAATGAGGTCGTTTAGCTGAATAATGCACACAGAACTTGTGATTATGGGTGGTGATGAGGTGACCGTAGCAGATCATAACGGCGAAAAAGAGAATGGAGCCTTCCTGGGTTGGTTGGTTGGTTGGTTTGTTTTTCTCAGGTAGTTTCACTGTCGTTTTTTAAAAGGCAGAACTTGCAGCTTTGCTAGACTTCTGGCAGAATTTTAGAGCTGGAAGGCACCATGAGGAATCACAGCTCATCACTGTTGCTCAGCATTCGCCAGGTTTTCACTTGTGGACAATGTTTAATTAAATATTCTTTATAAATTCCCCATTCTTTTTTTATACCTTTGAGTTGGCTGTCTCCTAATTGTCTCTTGTCAATTTTGCTAATTTGAGATATTCAAACAATTTCTCCTACCATTCCTCTTTTGATGGTATCATTTCGCCTTTCCATTTTTTGGCGACCCGTATTCTCGCTGCTGTTGCAGCGTATGAGAATATTATTCTTTTTTTCTTAGGCAGGAAAAAATGGTGGAGAAGGAGATTTTAAGTAAACCCTAGGAAGAACTTTCTGATGGCAGGAGGCTGTTCAACAGCAGAATGAACAACCTCGGAAGGTGGTGGACTCTCCTTCACTGGAGATTTTTAAGCCACCTGTCAGGGATGCTTTAGCTGGGATTTCTGCATTGTAAGTGGTTGAGCTAGATGATCCTTGGGTTCCTTTCCAGCTCTACAGTTCTGTGTTTCTTTCTGGTTGGCCACAGTGATAACAGGGTGCTGGACTAGATGAGCCCCCATTTGGCCTATTCTACCAGGCCTCTTCTTATATTCTTAAGTGACTGCATGTCTATACACTCATGACGAATTTACCTTTGAATCGGTGCTTGATCTACCCACCTTTGGAAGACGGCTGCCTCTTGCACAAAGGACATTCAGCATCCTTCTGCCTTCCATGTGTTCTGCTGGTCTTCCCTGGTTGAACTGGCCTCTGGCTCTCATTTTGCCTGATTTCCAAGCCATTCCCAGCTTCCTCAGCAGTGAACAGAGCTCCACTCCTGTCTTCCCATGGCACTACATCTGGAAGACATTACTTCCCGGGGCAAAGATGGAGGGCATGTCTCCCTCTTGGTGCCACCTCCACCCTCTGGGAGAGATTAGCACGGTAGCGAAAGGAGGACCCCCCTTTCCCTATATGATTTTGTGTAAGGTTGGCAGACGTCCCCGTTTCCCGGGGACAGTCCCCGGATTCACAAATCAGTCCCCATACAAAATCCATTGAAGTTGAACAGTGTCCCCGGATTCATTCAAAAAAATCTGGTAACCTTAATTTTGCGTAAAAATGTGTGTTGAGTGGGTGGGGAGCATGGCAGCTCATAGCTCACCCGTTAAACAGGTAGATTGATGGATTACATTACTTCCCTTGCCCTTCAGCCCCTCGGGACTTCTAGGGTGATTCAGAAATGCGCGCGCACACACACACACACACACACACACAGACCAGTATAAGAGATAGCAGAAGAGCATTGGCATGTTCAGCTATGAACAAATCCCTTTGGTAATAGCCTTAAAAATACTTTTGTCACAGCCATCAGGCTACTGTAGTGAGTTTGTGTGTGCGAGTGTGCGAGAGAGAGTAAGAGAGAGAAAGAAAGTGTGTCACAGAATTGTAGAGTCGGAAGGGATACCAAGGGTCTTCTAGTTAAACCCCTTTGCAATGCAGAAGAAAGTGTGTGTGTGTGTGTGAGAGAGAGAGAGAGCGAGAGAGAGAGAGAAGAATGTGTGTGAGAGAGACAAATCTGAGAAAAACTAGCAATTCTGGCTAGTTGCTAAAGTGTCCTAGTGGAGGTCTGCGCCTCAGTGGCAGAGCATCTACTTTTCAGGCATCAGGTCCCAGGTTCAATCCCTGATTATATATCCAGGTAGGGCTGGGGATGTCCCCTTCTTGAAACCCTGGAAAGCCACTGCTGCCAGTCAGTGTTGACAGCACTGAGCTTGATGGACCGACAGTCTGGCTCAGTATGAGGCAGTTTCCTATGTTACTATTAACTCCTGCCCTTCAGTCAGAACTCTGAGGATGATAGACTCTGATTTTAATTTTAGGGGAAGGGTGTAAACATAGGATCATAGAAAGAGCCTGCTGGATCAGGCCAGTGGCCATCTAGTCCAACATCCTGCTCTCACAGTTGCCACTCAGATGCCCATGATGGGAAGCCCACCAGCAGGACTTGAGCACAAGAGAACTCTCACCTCCTGCAGTTTCCAGCAACTAGGATTCAGAAGTGTGACTGCCTTTGGCTGTGGATTTTAATGGAACACCTAGCATTTTGTTGATTAAATCTACCATTGCCACCTGGAGGCTTCAGGATGAGACAGTGGCTCTGTGTTCAAGCAAATGGACCTAGGAGTTAAATTGTTTTCCTTGATGCGTGAGAGCAGTACACCCTGTTCTGCCAAGGGGAGCAGAGTCCAGCCGTTCTTGTGAGTTTGCTTCCTTCCCTTGACGATCCCAGGAAGTCCAAAGTTCACACACACAGTGGACACCCTTGCAGGATTTCCAACAATCTGTCATTCTCTTCCTTGTCTGGAAGGTGAGAAGGGTGTTGCCACTGATGCAAAGTTTTCAGGTGCTTCCTTCTGAATGTCCTGTGCAGAATTGGGGACTGCCTCTGCTCCAGATAAACAGGATCTTTCCTGTAAATGTTTGGCTTCTTTTTTCTTTTTCCCCCTAAAGTGCAAATTCCTATTCCTTGTGAAGGAAAATCAAGAATCTTATGAAGTCACTGGGCACCAAACATTAAAAGTACACATTTCTCATGGGAAGTGTAGTCTAAGAATGCTGGGAACTGTAGCTATGTGAGGGCTGAACTATAATTCTCAGGATTCTTTAGAGGAAGCCATGTGCTTTCAAGCTACAGCCGATGTTCATAGCCAATCTGTGATATGTTAACTCTTCTCAAGAAAAGGTTGGCCCACAGTCATTTTGGTGCACAATGGAGAAAAACCCACATTGCACCTCCTACTCGGAAACAGTGCTTTCAATCAGAGTTGCTCCCACATAAGTGTCCTTGGTAGGGATGGAGAAGGTGTTTCTGACCCGAGGGCCACATTCTCTTTGTGGAAACTTTCTGGGGGCCAAACTGCGGAACTCACTCCCCAAGGAGGCAGTGATGGGCCACCAACTTTAAAAGAGGATTGAACAAATTGGTCGAGGAGAAGGCTAACAATAAGTCAGTAACGCTTCTGAATGCTAGTTGCTGGAAACCACAAGAGGGGAGATGGCCCTGTGTTTGTGGGCTTCTCATGTGGTTGGCTGCTGAGAACAGGATGCTGGACTAGATGGGGCTTCAATCCCCAGGGCTCGTCCTTTGTTCTCATGTACAACACTTGCAGTATTGAGGCCTAAGTGCCCTTCCTGGACCAGCAACTTCGTGTTGTGCTGCTTGGCTCTTGGGATGCCATGAACAAAATCAGGCTATGCATGTGTGTGTGTGTGTGTGTGTGAGAGAGAGAGAGAGAGAGAGAGAGAAGGAGGAGGAGGAGGAGGAGGAGGAGGAGGGAGGGCACGTTTGACGTGAACCCGATACCAAGGGTTGATGCAGGAGGAAGCGATCATGGTATCAGGGAAATAAAACCCATCAAGGGATAATAGGATCCAGCTGGGGAAGGAGTGTCTTTTACCAGTTGTGACAGGTGATGTCTTTTCCCTGACTGGATGTTTGGTTTCATGTGGCTCAGCTGAAGACTCCAGCGCTAGTTGGTGGAGGTCCACCATGGTGCTCTGTGGTCTCTTTCCACTGCTGATGACATTGCCTCTGGGATGTCTTTCGAAGCCATTTTAAGTGGAAGAAGAAAAGTCCCATTTTAATAGCTATGTAGGGATCTTGACTGGTAAAGCTGCTGGGAATCAAGGAGGGGAAAGAGGTTAGTATCCCCCTATCCACCAGAGAGATCTCCTAGGGCAGAAGTTCCCCAAAACCTGTTACAGGTCTTTGTATGCCAAGGTTCAAGGTAACCACTGAAGAAATCAGATGTGTGGTCCTGGAAGTCATCTTCCTAAGAATTTTGTTTCCAGAACTCCTTATGCTGAGAATCCTCCTTCCAGAATTCCCCTAGAACCTGACTTTTTGTACACATTTCTTGGCTTCAGAACTGCATCCTAAAACTCAAAAAGGTGTGAATTTCTTTCCCCCACCTTTGCCCAGGTAGATTCACAGGAGAATGAAGGGATGTATTAGGATGAATAGATTTGCAGACAGGTGTGCATAAGTTACTACACCGTTAAATACTTCTGAAACCTGCAGGCATACATACCATTTGTCATTCAGAGTTCAGCTGTGGAGAAGAGGGCATTTTTGTAGGGGAAAAACAGGAAAAAATTGCTGTACTCTGGAAACATGTGATTGAGGTTTGGCATCAGATGCTAGATTTGGATTAAGTGCTGGCCATTGACAACGAGGCTGAGGGGCTGATGATTCCAATGTTGTAGTGCATTGTTAAACTTCGGAACTCACTCCCACAGGAGGCAGTGGTAGCCACCAAACAATACGGCTTTAAAAGAGGATAAGAAAGTGAGGGAGGTGGCGGCAGCGGCTATTGATGATACTAGATGATCTGACTCAATATAACACAGCTTCTGATATTAATAATAATATGTTCGTATTTCATAGAATCATAGAATTGTCGAGTTGGAGGGGACCCCGAGGATCATCTAGTCCAACCCCTGCAATGCAGAAATATGGAGATCGAACCTGCCACCTTAGTATTATCAGCACTACACTCTAACCAACTGAGCTGTTCATGTTCTCCCTTTATTCAGAACCACAAGGACTAGAATCTTGGCCTATGCTTAGGTGAAGCTTCACAGCTCAATGGTAGAGCACCTGCTTTGGATGCAGAAAGTCCTGGGTTCAGTTCCCAGCATTTGCAGGTAGGGCTGGGAATGCCCCCTTCTTGAAAACCCAGAGAGCTTCTGCCAGTCAGTGCTGGCAATACTGAGGTAGATGGATCTGATTCATCCTACAAGCCTATTCAATTTGTCCTATTCTTCAGATCCACGAGGACTAGAATCTTTATTCTTAGGGGAAGGGTTGTAACTTGAGTATGTCTCTCCCATGCTTGCTGCCCATCCAGGGATTGCTGTGGTTTAATATCCAAAGTGTCCATTTGCTCAGAGGGTAGGAAAAGAAAGTTATTGAGACAGAGGAGAAGAGAAAATAAAATTACAGTCTAATCCTGTAGATGACTCAAGGGTTTTTTGTTTTCTTTTTTAATGTGGATGACTCAGTGTCTCCTCAGCTAAAAGAGCTTGGTGTACTATGAAAAATAGACATTCTCTTTGTTTTTCTTTCTCATTAGCTGCACATATCTCTGTATACCAGGGAGCAAGTTGCAAACAATGGATGTTCTTTTAGCCGTCTTGTCACTGTTGCTTGTACAGAACCACTGAAGAAGTTCTTCTTCTTCTTCAGCGATCACTCGTAGTCGAGTAAGATTGTCTTCCATCAACACGGTTTTAACAATGAGTCCATAAGTGACTGTGGAGGCCAATTCTGGATCCACACGTCCTTCCACAGTGGGGACATTGGTTTTCAGGCAGGAGTTGATCATGGTGTGGATTTGCCAAGCGTGCCTTCCTCTTAGCACGTTTCTCCCTTGCGTCCTGAATTCAAGTGTTTTCAAAGCCCATGACATCTTTGGTAAAGGCTGTTCTCCAATTGGAGCACCCACAGGCAAGGGTTTCCTAATTGTTGGTGTTTATACTACACCACAGAGTCTAAACCACAGGTCTAAAGCACAGAGCCTAGGGCTTGCTGATTGGAAGGTTGGCAGTTCGAATCCCTGTGATGAGGTGAGTTCCTGTTGTTCGGTCCTAGCTCCTGCCCACCTAGCAGCTCAGAAGCACATCAAGTGCAAGTAGATAAATAGGTACCGCTCCGGCGGGAAGGTAAATGGCATTCCTGTGCGTTGCTCTGGTTTGCCAGAAGCGGCTTAGTCATCCCGGCCACATGACCTGGAAGCTGTCTGTGGACAAACACCGGCTTCCTCGGCCTATAGAGCGAAATGAGCGCACAACCCCAGAGTCGTCTGCAACTGGACCTAACAGTCAGGGGTACCTTTACCTTTGTACTACATTTTTTAAAATTTGCCTTTAGAGAGTCTTTAAACCTCTTTTGTTGACCACATCACGTTTGATGAGGGTGATGTCAGCTTCCATGGACTTGGCACTCTCTGGAAATGAATTTTTCCTTCCAGGTCTCCTTCAGGAGTGCTTAACAAGAGAAATTTATTGTTTCATGTGTCAAAAACCTTTTATAAAATTGATTAAAACAAACAAACAAACAACAAACAAACAAACCACACCCACATAAGACGAGTCTGCTGGGTCAGACCAGCAGCCCATCTAGCGCAGCAGCATCCTCTCACAGTGGAGAACCTGACACCTCAGAGGGAAACCACAAGCAGGATTTGAGCGCAAGAGCAGTGCTTGCCCCACTCCGTGGTTTCCAGCATCTGGTACAGTGCTACCTCAGGTTACATACGCTTCAGGTTACAGACTCTGCTAACCCAGAAATATTACCTCGGGTTAAGAACTTTGCTTCAGGGTGAGAACAGAAATCGTGCTCTGGTGGCACGGCGGCAGCAGGAGGCCCCATTAGCTAAAGTGGCGCTTCAGGTTAAGAACAGTTTCAGCTTAAGTATGGACCTCCGGAATGAATTAAGTACGTAACCTGAGGTACCACTGTATTCAGAAGCGTTTCTACCTTGGAACTGGGAAGGCAGAGCATAGCCATTAGGGCTAGTAGTCACCTTAGCTCTCTCCTGCATGAATTTGTCCAAATCCTTTCTCAAAGCCATCCAAGTTGGTAGCCATCCTTGCCTCTTGAGGAAGTTCCATAGTTTAGCTCTGCGTTGCAGAGCAGGGCTCGCCTTTACTCTTACCATGCTTTTATTGGGAATGAATTGTGCCCCATCCCTTGAAACACAGGCATGTGGGGTTGGAAGGGGGGATACTGACATTTAAACCTGCACAGTCAAGTCCCACCCCCCTGCCACTCTTATGCAGCACTGCAGCTCTGACCCAAATTGGGCTTTTGGTGATAGAATGCCCATTGTCTATTTGGTCCATTAGTGACTGTTGGAAGGGGGGGGGACACACACAGGAGGACAAAGAACTTCTGTGTTTTTTTCCTGCACACCAAGATCCTCCGCCGAGGAGACACTGAGTCATTGGCATTAAAAGCCAGACTTCATATGTACGCTGTTGGGGTCTGAACTGGCAGTGGCTGAACAGGGATAAATGGTTGGAGATGTCAACCTGGTGTGTGGCAAGAGAGAACATTTATATCCTAGGGATTGTTAGGAAAGGAATTGAAAATGAAACTCCTGATATCCTTATGCCATTACACACATCTACGGTGTGACCACAGTTAGATTACTGTGCACAGTTACGGTCGGCTTGCCTCAAAAAGGATATTGTAGAGTTGGAACAGCTTCAGAAAAGGGCCACCCATACATACCAATCTTGGTGTGTATTTTATGGTTGGTGTAAACTGATTAGCAGGTAAATTGCTTTTAAACCTACATAGAAGTAAAACACATAAAACAGATATGCTCCTTGGAATACTGTGTCCAGTTCTGGGCACCACAATTTAAGAAGGATATTGACAAGCTGGAACTTGTGCAGAGGAGGAGGGCGACCAAGATGATTAAGGGTCTGGAAACCAAGCCTTATGAGGAATGGTTGAAGGAGCTGGGTATGCTTAGCCTGGAAAAGAGGAGACTGAGAGGAGATAGGATAGCCATCTTCAAATATCTAAAGGGATGTTGCATGGAAGATGGAGCAAGATTGTTTTTCCCTGCTCCGGAGAGTAGGACTCAAATTAATGGCTTCTAGTTATAAGAAAGGAGATTCTGACTAAACATCAGGAAGATGTTTCTGTCTTTCTGAGGGTAAGAGCTTTTTGACAGGAGAATGGACTCCCTCGGGAGGTTGTGGGCTCTCCTTCATTGGAGGTTTTTAAGCAGAGGTTGGATGGCCACCTGCCAGGGATGTTTTAGTTGAGATTCCTGCATTGTAGGGGGTTAGACTGGATGACCCCCCAGGGTCCCTTCCAGCTGTACGATTCTGTGATTCTATGATTGTTTATGTAGCAAATAACATTGACTGCCGAGCAACAGATTTAAAAACTATTCAAAATAAAAGCTCTTTAAAACTAGAACAATCTGGAGCACAAGGATGAACAGCCTTGTTGTCATCTTCACCCTGGGAATTGCAAGTGGGGAGAGTTGCGGTTGCCCTCAGATCCTGCTTCTGGGCTTTCCATTGAAGCATCTGGTTGGCCACTGTGAAAACTGGATGCTGGACCAGGTGATCCAGCAACCAGGCTTTTCTCATGTTCTTGGAAGTACAAGGTGGCTGGAGATTTTGGGTCCCTCGCTTCCTTTCACCACTTACTGAACCATGCCCTGGCAGTTCACCAGCCATCACTGCTCAGCTGGATTTGGCACAGTGGTTCACAAGAGGTACCAGCCTGTCCCCCCTCCCTCATAGAATAAGAACAAAAGAACATAATAAGAGCCAAATAGATTAGACTAATGGCACACCTATTGCAGCATCATAGCCCCACAGTGGCCAACCAGATGCAAGCAGGACCTGAGCACAACAGGAGTTGTACCCTCTAAGTTTGCTAGCACAAGTGAGAAAAATGGGGGGGGGAGTACTGGAGGGGACAGGTGAGGGAGAAAAGGTGGCGCCCATTGCATTAATAATGGAATCCCTGACATCCAGATTAGATTAGTAAAAGCGAGAGAGCATGGACTATTCTCATCTTTTACCCAGCATGCAACTTTAATGGCAAGATAATGAGGCAGAGTATTTATTTGTAAAAGATCTGGAGATATCACAGCTCAGTGGAGTCTCTGAAGAGTGATAAAGTTGCAAGGCACTCGCCTGCCACCATGACACCAGTCAGCTGAAACCTAAGATCTCCCTTTCACTGTTTCTGGGTGGCTTTCTCTGCTCCCCCAAAATGTGTAGCCAGAGTTTCACCGCAGCAAACTTTTTGTTTAGCCAAAGACATTCCACGTGAACGACGGCCTCTTTCATTCTGCATTCTTTCAATGCCAGCACAGCAAAAACTTGATTTGAGTAGAACGTGAATGGAATACAACATACTCATCACAAATAGTGGTAAATAAATGGAGAGTGTTAGCTTTCTAGCTTGGGGGGGTACTTAAAAAAAGAAATAAAAAGTCACAATGCACAAGAGAACTACAAATTGATTTAGCACTGCCTCTTATGAAAGTTTTCCTGCATTGCAGGGGTTTTTTTTTACTAAATGACCCTTAGGGTCCCTTGCAACTTTACAATTCTATTATTATTATGATTTTGGAAGGTGATGGCCTTTCTTTGGAGATTTTTAAAAGAGAGGTTGGATGTCCATCTGTCAGGGATTCTTTTTCTGTGCTTCTTGCATTGCAGGGGGCTGGACTAGATGACTCTTGGGGTCCCAACCCTATAATTCTATGGCTCATTGAATTCCTGTTGAACAGATAAGGGTTAGCAAATGCTTTGCCCCTTCAGCTGCCAAAAAGATCCTTACCTGCTGGGTGCTGCCATTAATACCCACCCCACCCCCCCACCCCCGTTATTAATTGCAAGCTCTTTTTTTGGAGTGTTGTAGTGTTTTATCCCAGCAATAAGGCTATCCCAAGCAAGTGTCCTCCTCACGTGACATGATTCAGCTTGCCTTGCGGTCTCGCTGGCAGATGAATCTCTATTGGGTGATATTTTTTTCTCTCCAAGCTGGTGATGACGGTGTGACGACCTTGATGAGATAATGCGTTGTTATTTTTGAACCATCAAAAGATTAGCGCTATTGGGCTCTAGCAAGCAGGCTTATCGGGTGGGGTTTATCCCAGCTCAGAGCCTTGGC